CATTTAACCATTTTTCATCACTTCGCCCGCTAGTGCAATATATTCTTGCATACTTTCAAAGGCCATAATAAAGGTCGCATTGAGCTCTCCGATAAACGCAACAAACGAACGCACTTGTATTGTTATTGCAGCTGATAATTTATGATGTTGTGTGAATTATTGTAATTTGTGGTAATACATGTGCACAACTACTAAACACGGACCCATTTTACATATAAGAACGTACTCATATAAGCAAACAGATGTGGCCGCATGTTCGACTTAATTATTTGCATTCCATGCTATTTTGGTAATTGCAAAAACCTGCTATTGCTTGATAACTACATTTTTAAAATATAATTATTACTCTGAATTGAGAGAAACTCTTTTGTTTAAACTTGAAATCGATAAGCAACAAAATTCGCTATTTGCTATTACGTTCAAGTGCATTTCAATTCTTTTTTTTTTTTTTTTTTTTTTTTTTTTTCTATAATTACAACATTCATTGCGACTATTTTAATGCAGTTAATTGATTAATTGTACTTTTTATATAAATTATTTTAAGAGCTTTAACAAAGAAAGAAAGAAAGAAAGAAAGAAGAATAGAAGAACACTTGATGATGCTAAGATCCCTTCAGCTTAAACGCTTACCGAGGCTGGTCTTGAGTGTAGGTCTTGAAATAATTTATCTAAAATTTTCTCAGTCAATTAAGCGAATTGGGAAATATTCATAGTTAATATATGCAAACATATGTATGTTATATTAATATACTAATTGGTTTACAAACAAGATCTCTTTAGATAACTGATAATTTAGTTAATTGATGTTTGGACAGTATAAGTATCAGTTTCTTACAAGCTTTCGTTTAGCGTATATCAAAATGTGAAGGCACGGACGTCATTTCCGCCACTAAAATTTATTTTGTTTTAAGTTGGAAAAAAAAAAAAAATGCAGCTAAAGCCACGGAAATGATTGACTTGGTCTAGAGTGAAAATGCAGTAAACTATAAAACAGTTAGGTAGTGGTTTAAAAGATCTCATTAAAAAAAATTGTAGTCTTGAGAACGATAAACGTTTGAATACATCCGTCCGTTTACCAAAAAAGCAGTCCAAGTATAAATCTTTAACTTGAGTTGGAGACAGCTCCCGAAAGCGGCTTATTCTCAAGATCTGTCTGCTTCTGATTAGCATCGGTTTAAATCGGTGGTACATCGTGTTTAGCCCAATAGCTAAAAGCACAAAGTTAAAGGTGCGCGAAAGTAAGCCGGTAATTATTTCGTCTTGAAACAATGAAGTTTCGAACGCGGAGGCATCTTCAAGTTGTCGATAAGAAGTAAACGATCGTAGAGAGTGATGGTGCAAATTCCGATTATGAAAATCAAAAGAATGTATTTGTATACCTGACAGTGGTTTTTTAAATTCACGTAAGCGGGAATTTAAATATAATACCCCATGCTTTAAATAAAGGATCGCTCATTTTGAATAGTCCTATAAGGTATAGAGAATAGGATTATGTACCGGGTTGGGTAAGTGGGCTCTAAGACCTCGTTGGCATCGGTACACTTTAGTGTTTCATTCAATTGGACTCTGTAAGCATGACAATATAAAACTTTCGTGAGAATACGCTGTAGATAATTTCTCTAAAAGTCAACTTATTGATCATGGGGCCGAAATGATATCACTGAACAATCACCAACATTCTTGCGAACTGCTTTGATGTTTCGTGTTGAGAAAACAGTGTGGTGAAGATCATTAATTGGTCGAGGCCTCAAAATTTTTTTGTTTTTTGGTTATCTTTTCACAGTCCTTGGTTGATTTTGATCTATGAAACATAGTCGATTTTCCAAGTAAGCTTATTCTAAAGAATGGGGAAAAACTAACGTACATTTATGACCCATTGCGTACGAAATTGGCCGAAATGTTGCGAGAAAACGGATTAAAAATGCCGCGACGAATATAGGCAATGGTAACTTTCTTGTCAAAGTCAAATATTTGCGGAAGGCAAAAGTTAGTCGCGAGATTTGAGCTAGACAAAAAGTGAGTCAAGAGAGTTGAGTCGTTGTAAATTAAAGTTTCTGAAAGTAATTTGTAAAGAGACCTCCTAAGACTATTTAAAAAAATCACATTCCATTGGTACGAATTTGAGTTCAAAAGGGAGTTTAAAAAATAACGTAAAATGACAAAAGACGGATTTACGTTACAATACTTTCAAGTTTAGTTTAGCTCTAAGGTATCTTTTGGGTTAGCTGATGAATTTTTGTATATAGCTGAACAAATAAATAAATAAATTCAATTTTTTGCTTTCTATGTAGGAAAATTGTAAAAAGTTGTGTCATGATCGTCAACGATATGCTGCCACCAGGCTGGCGGCAACGACTTCGTTAGCGATTTGTAAAATTGTAAGGCGACGGTCAAATTTTTGTATTGTAATTATTATTCCAAAAGATAGATGGATGTAAGGGCCGTGTAGCCCGTTACTGCTAATCGCATTGATTAACAGCGTATCTACGCTACGAGTCTATTAATAAAAATTTTAGTAAACATGATTCAAAGGAAAAAATATTAAAGTAGAATTGAACAATTAATAAACCAAACGAAGAGAAAGTTACACGAACGGTGTTTCATTAATTAAATAATTACAATTAACTATACTTTCATACACAATAAGAGCAGGAACTCCTTGGTTCGACCTATACGACGAAAATGAACTTTGTATGAACTTCAAGACTTTTCTTTATTCGTTTGTTGTTATGTTAGTACATTAGTTGGTAATTGCTGTAAAATTCATTTTCTGCAAAGCATTGCGATGAATGCTTATTCCGTAACTATTTGGGAGATATTGCTTTATATAACCTTGATAGGTAATTGTGTCAAATTGTATTGGGTTGTCCGGGAAGTGGTTTCTTTTTTTTTCTCACAAGATGTTGTTTGGCCGTTTGCCGTTACTTTGTCACCGTCAGCTCCGAATGGCTTTCCTTCAAGCTGAAAATTGACGGGTAGATTAGTCAAGCGTATGACGTGACTGGCAATGAAAAATGGATCTATTACGGCAATACTAACCGAGAAAAGACTAGGAGAGCCAAAGGAGAGTAAAAATATTATAAAATATTGTATAAAATGATAGAAACTATTTTGATTAACATACATTGTATCAATTTTTTTCAATGAACGCCTCTTTTATGGGAAAAACTTTTGCAAGAACGCAACAGTTTTGGAACTGGCTGTCTGTCGATGCAACTTCTCCATACATGTTGGATAATTTTTCTCTTGTTTGAACAGAATTTTTACCTTATTGATAGTGAACAACTAAGAACATTATAGCCGGACAACGCCAGCCATTAAATACCCTACACCACAATGTCTAACGCAATTCTTACTTTCCATTCTACAACATAAAATTTATATCTTGTTTCTATATATATAGGCAAATTTGTAAAGTGGGGCCCACAACGTAACCTAATGTAATGCAAGTTTAATCTTTACGTAGGATCCAAAAACAGGCATAGATGGTCCAAATTTTGTAAAATTCATTTTTGTATGAAATTACTACAATGTTATGGGTCAATTTTCATCACCACATATTAACAATTCGGCTTTTCTGCACTACAAAGGGTCAATTTTCCTGAAAATCCTTATGAGGGTAGGATCCAAAATATAGGCCGAGAAGATGCAAAGTTGGTACATTTAATTTTTTTTTTTTTTAATTGTTATTACGATATAATTTTCTTAATGAAGCACTGACAATTACACTTTTTTGTCGGGTGAACTTAAGTTTTCCTCTTATGAAGGTGTTCAAAAATTGCCCCAGCCGATCCAAAGTTTCCATACCAATTTAGAATGCCCAAATACTGTTGCATAGTCACTTTTGATGAGAAATTTTGAAAATTGTAATTTATTTATTTATATAATGCCTTTTCAGAATAGGTCGTTATGTGGGGAGTGTTCGAAAATGTGGGCCGATTTAAACCGTTTTCAATAGCGTTCATTATTCGGTGCAAATACGTCATTGTACCAAATTTCATCAAAATGTCTCAAAAATTGTGACTTGCAGCTTGAACACACATTTACATGGGCAGATGTTAGACGGACAGACGGATAGACAGACTTAGATCAATTCGGATTGTGATTCTGAATCGGTCGGCAAGGTAAGAGATGGTTCTATCTTAAGCCTTTCTGCCTATTGCATACGACAGCACTAAATTAATATACTCTGTACCACAAGTGATGTAGGGTATAAAAAGTAAAATATGCCGAAAATGGTGCTTTTCACTTTGAATATTTAAAAGGAGATCGATCAATCGATAACTATTGCGTAGAATCAATCGAACTTTTTCAAAAGCAAGCCTTGCTATATCAGTTTGCAAAATAAAAATATTAAGATAATGCGACTAAAGTGCGAAGTTGGCTGTGATAAAATACAATTAAATCCTCCGTTGGGAAAAAAACCGAAATTATTTTCCGAACAAGCTAATAAATTCGCTTATTCTATTCTCGTTTATTTATTTTTTTTTTTATGTTGAAAATATTGGATGGAGAAATCTCTCAGGAATATATGAAGCTAAAAAAATATTCAGCTAGTGGTTTAAAATATCGTTTAAAATATTTTAAAGTTTTTCTATTTATTATGAATAAAAAAATTCAAACGCAATATTCAACTAATGTTAATGTCTTTTTTTTAAATGTAAATTTCTTTTTTTGGAGGCTTTGAAGGATATTATATAATATAAGGATAATATTTTGCTCTTGGACTTGTGAACATTAAAGTTAACCTTAATTAATACTGCGGTGTTTTAAAAAAATTAATTATTTTTTTGGTTAAATTTTTTTTTTTTTTTTTTTTTCAAAACAAAAAATGCGAACAGATTCTCAAATACTTATGCATTGTGCATTATGCATAAGCATAACTAGTATTATTATTATTGTTATTATAGAGGAAAGGCTGAAAAGGCGGAAAAGAATTATTTGAAAGACATTTATTATTATAAGTTTGCATAGCTTTTATTATTAATAACGTTACTTACGCTGCTTGAACTGTGGCGATATGTTTTGATGGCTCCTGCAGTAGTAAAGCAATATTGAAAGCCAACCATAAACTTGCCAATGAAGCCTTGGGCATCAGAGTTTTGTAGTGGTGATATAACGTTGAATCACTCATCTTAGCAGCAACGTGGTGTTGGGCTTATTTTTTATTCTTGTTGTTGTTATTATTATTATTATTATTATTATTATTATTGTTGTTGTTGTTGTTGTGTTATTGTGGTTAATTTTTTATTTTGATTTTTACTGGCAAAACATAGAATAATAGAGAGAAAAATAAAGAAAGAAATAGATAAAGAGAGAGAGAAAGAGAGGGAGGAGAGAGAGAGATAGAAAGAAAAAGAGAAACAGGGAGAGAAAGCGATAGAGAGAGAAAGAGAGAGAAAGAGAGAGAGAGAGAGAGAGAGAGAGAGAGTAAGAGAACGAACGGATAAGACAAGAAGACAGATATTTGTTTATAGTGATGATATGTCCTTAAAATAATTCCACACACAAAATTTACAGAGGTATGCTTGTAGCTCTGTATATATAAGCGAATGTGAACGTAGGAATTTTACATATCTTCGTGTTAATTGTGTGTATGTTTATTTGTTTGTGTAATTTCTGTTTGTATGTATGTGTCAGCTATTGTTTTAACTCATTTACATGGAAACAACCAACAACAATGATTGTTATAATGATGATGTTGATGTTGATGTTGATATCGTTACTGTTGATAGACACACACCTTGGATTTCTTGTTGCTCTTATATTCTGTGAATTAAGCTGATGTTGTGGTTGAAACTATTCTTATCGTTTTACGTATATTTTTTTTTCCCCGTCCTTTATATCTTCTTTTTTGCTTGACTCTTCTCAGTTTATATTAGGCTGTAGGTTTCTTTCTCTCCAAAGTTGAAATGCCTTTAACATAAATTGCGTTGTATGTTGAGCTGGATGGATAGATATTTATTTGGTAGATTTGTTGGTTACTTGGGCAAAAGATTAGTTTTTTGTTATTATTGTTATTTATTTATTTACTTATTATTATTATATTAATATATATATATATATATTTTTTGTTTATATTATTCTTATTGTTGTTACTGTTGTTATTGTTGTTTATTGCTGCTCTTATTTGTTAGTAGTTCTTACTACTTTAATATATTAATATCAATTTTGTTAAGCGGAAGTTTTTCTTCAGTACGTATGGGAACATAATCAGGCTTATGTGATGTTAAGGATTTCGCTTAGGATATTGACTTTTCCTTCTTATAAATAAGTTATCCTTGAGTATTCTAATATGTAATCGGAATTTTGGGTTGTTGTTGTTATTAATGCTGCTACCGCTGCTGCTTCTGTTGTTGTCAGTGCTAAATATCATTTAAGTGTTGACGCGTTAGTTCACTTAGTAGTTCCTTATCAATTTCACTTTCGAATCGAAAGTCGAAGTATTAAGAAAGTTGCACTTTTTCTTTTAAAAAGGGGCCGTTTGTCTTTCATCAAAGAAGACGCAAGACGAATGTATACTTGTTCATACATACATTTAAGTACATAGAACCTAGATCGATATAAGCGTTTGAGGAGATTTTAAGAAAATAAAGTCTGTCACAATTTTCTTTATTAAACGAATGAATTTAGTATTTAAATATTATGTGTCTTGTGTATGTAAGTGTACATATTATTAGCGCTCCTTGCTCTTAGATCTCGAATTTTAGATTTTCTTTTTGTTTTTTTTTTTTGTTTTTTTATTAATTCATTAAAACGTCATTTAAGAAAGAATATCAGGCAATTTGTGTCATGATATTTGAGCTGCTGTTTATTAATATAATTGTTAAGTCTTTCAATTGAAGTGTATTTAAGTTTTTTTAATGTTTTCATTAACGCTAAGCCATCTCTTTTCCTTTTTGTTACCGAGTGAGGCTTAAAGTTTAAATAATTATCATACATAGCCAGCTTGTCTTGGCGTTCTGTCGTATCGAATTCAATTGCCCGTAGCCTTTCATCACCGATCGTGATTTGCTTGCTGATTGATTAACGCAGGAACGCTGATGTGAGAAACGTGAAACATATTTATATTTAATTTTGTATTCTTCTCTTTTTTCTTCTTTCGTTTTTGTTACTTAAGTTTTTACTTCTTTTTCATTATCTTGTTAATAATAAATGCTTTTCGCCCTTTTTAACACAATTTCTGCACTTATATGATAATAAATAGTGTTTGTTATCTCAATACCATTTTCTGGAAAGTAATAAGAAAAACATTTATTTTAATTAATGAATGAACAGAAATAAAAAAACCAAAAAAAAAAGCATTTTTTTTTTTTTTTATGTCATGTTATTTATTTATTTTTTTTTTTAACTTTAAATAATGTTTCATTTAACACTTGTATAGGCATGTAGGTAAGTATGCCTTTAAAAATTGATGAATTTAATTATTTAAAATGATAATAACATACGTTGTATGCGCTTTAAAGTATGTTACAAACGTTGCTTTTCAAAGTGCTTTCGGCACTAAACAGAGTCAAATATTTTGAGCCTCTCTGTATACAATAACAATCTATGACTTCGAAACTCTTAAACTAGTAAAAGGACAATAGGAGGAAAACTCCCGCTCTTACTCTTTTATATGCTTTTTCTCTCATCGTTTCTGCAAGAAATTGTAAGCACATGCACACGGATGTGCATTATATTATATTATATTATATGAACGTATAAAATATGTGCACACACACACATACATACACACACACACACACACACACACACACACAAAACAATCCAACACACACATGCCCATGCATATATACGTATACGTGTGTATATGTATATGTATTTATGTATGTATGGATATGTGTGTGTGTGTGTGTGTGTGTGTGTGTGTGTGTGTGTGTGTGTGTGTGTCAGTTTCTACATATATATATATATATATATATATATATACATACATATATTTGTTTGTACATATTGTATATATGCTCTGAGACCGTGCAAACTTTGCCCTCTCGGCGCGCGAGTAAGAGAGTTGAAAAACTTGAATTTGTAAAGTCTTTGAACTTCTCTTTTGTTCTGTTGTTTGCAGACAGTACTTTGTATATGTGAATGCGTGTTTTTTTTTTATACATATACCTTTATGTCTGCGTTTTCCAAAGAAAAAATCAAAAAAAAAAAAAAAAAAAAAAGGTTTAAAAAAAAATCACTTTTAAGTTATATAGGTAATCCTTTCCTTTTTTATATTTTTTTATTTTTTATTTTTTTAAATACTAGCAGTTGATGTGTCGTTTCTTTGATATTCTTGAATTATTCATATTTATGTAGTACCCAATGTATTTGTTCGCCTTGCAGACGTATTTACAGTGTATGAAAACAAGAGAGGGTTGAGTAATAGAGAGCAGAGCTGCTGTGGGGTCAAATCCCAGCAGTTAGACTTCGTTTGACATAAATCGTAACCAGCGCCTACCTTCCTCAAAATACTTCAGTATATATGTACGTATGTATGTATGTATGTATGGGTTTTGAATGTATATATAAAAGATACTATTACAAGTAGCGTGTATATGTGAGCAAATATTTTTGCATTTGTATCGTTTTTGTTTTTCCTGTATTCCTTTCATTTTTTTTTTTTTTCATACGTTTGACCATATTTTTTACATTGACTACTGGGTATTCCGTTATTTGCTTAAACTGTGGCATTCTCTAGGTTTTCTTCTTTTATTCCCTTTAGGTTTTTGACCAACAAAATGTTGAAAAGGAAAAAAATGAAAAGAAAGAAATTCAACGAAGTTCCTTCTATTTATTTTTCGTGCAAATATATGCCAGTGTGTAAATCTGGGCATTGGTTGTTTTCCAACCGTAGTGCCTTCACGAATATATGTCTTTAATGAGCAAAGAGAATAACGGATATAATAATTAACTAAATATTTTTTTAATGAATTTAAGCTTTTCGTTGTTCCTGCTCGTTTTTATGTCCGTTTTTTTATTGTTTTTTTTTTTGTTTTTTTTTTTTTGGAAAAATTGCCGTACAGAGCCGAAATATCATACAGAAATTTCTGGTAATTCCATATGGAAAATTCATTCATTTAAGCAAATTTGTGCAATAGACTACTTTTTCACAATTATTGGTCATTTTTGTTACACATAACTAAGCTAAGCTAAGTTTTATGAAAATTTCTATTAAAATCTCTTACCAATCCGTATTATATTTATTTGAAACGTGTGTTTTAAACTTTATTATAAAGAGATATATGGGATTTCCTGTCACAGTTAAAAAATTATTATTTTATTGTAAAATAAAAGAATTTAAAAAAACCGCACGTGAAATCTTAAATCATTTCAAGCGAGAATTCTAAATTCATTCGGCTACGTCCATCCGCTTTCTGTTAGTCCTAAGTTTTGAGGTGTTGAAAAATCTTTTATTTGCTTATATTTCTACTGTTACAATCCTTTTATCTTTAAAGGGTAAATAAAATGTATGTATAAAATATGTTATGGTTTTATAATGAACGAAATATAAAATGAATTTATGAAAATAAATCGCGTAAGAGTGCCTTTAATAGATTTCTATTGATAAAATTAGAAAAAGAGCCATACATAGGCTTATAACAGCTAAAAAAAAAAAAAAAAAAAAAAAAAAAAAGTCTTATTATTATTATATAGCATTTAATTGGCGTATAATTAGCGTAAATATCTATATAGGGCTGTATTTCACTTCTAAAGAAGAAAATATTAATTTTTTAAAGAAAATTTTCCCGAAAGCAACTTTCAGCTTTAGTTGTACTTGGTCGAAACTTCGAGTGAAGATTGAAAATTGAAGATTTCATTTGTTTTAAGTGCAAAGTTAAGTGTTGCGATGATGGATCTGCTCTGTATGTAATTGTTGCTGGTTGTCGCCTTCGATTTTATGGGTTTAAAATATTTCAGATGTACACAGGCTTGAAAGCAATGACTTTAGCATATATAAAAAAGTATTTATATGGTGTAGAATAGAGGGGAAAAGAAAAATTGATAAACCAACGGATTTTCTTTCATAAATCCTAAGATTATGCGGATCCAACAACGAAGGATGCTTTATTTTTTGGGCAATGTGAAGAGAGAGTAACGAGCAACCCATACTGGCAGTTCTTGTCAGTGGCTACGTGTCACATCTAACTAACTACGTGAAAATGACTGAGGGACTGAGCAGAAATGATATGAATGTAAAGAAGACTTCAAGTGAAGGCTACTTTATATAAAAAATATTT